TATGTCAAGAAAAAGTATGAAAAATATCATTAGCTATTTATTATCAATTATTATAGAAGATTCATATTGTTGATCGATTTCAAAAAATTCATCATTATATTCTCATAATTGTATTTTTATTATTACAAGAGAAGATGTCATTGAATTTTATATCATTTGAAAGATCATCACGAGTACTCAAATCTCATATAAAATGCATTCGCTTAGGGATTATTCTCTGTCTACAGATAAATTAATTTTGTCGTACCTCAAAACTTATGAAACACCCTGTATGTACAGTATTGGCATTGTTTAAAAAAGCTCATCTTAACCGAATTCTTTTTTATACGATATTTTAAAAGACTCTCTATATATACATATTTGGCAATAATATTCTCTAATCAGCTTCACTAACATTTTAGCAGAAACAAACATCCGAAGTCGAAAATCATGTATTTTACCATGTTAATTCCATGTGTAAGTTGTCTGATTTGTTGGATACTCAAACATGCATTTTCGTATTCTCTTGTTATTTTAAAGAATCGATAATGTATCATTAAAGTAAGAAATCCTATATCAAGTCGAAAGTTTAAATAAGAAGCTGATTATATAATTATCTCACTTGAATTTGAAATGTTCTAAGAAATAAGAAGTGCGTCAATCAACTTTATTTGAATAAGAAAAATAAAGCAACACTCTCTTTGTTTCATTTTGTCCCTTAAGTAGTTTAAAAGTGCACTTAGAACGGTAAAGTAGCGGCTCTATGAAAACAAACTTTTTGAGTGACTCGTGTAAATAATCATTACTGAGTCAATGTTTTCCGAGAAAATAAATAAACAATAGAAAAGTAACGAGAGAGAAAATGGAATGGTTTTTATGACTTGTAATTCGTTACTTGAAAATATTTTCCATCCAAGAGAAATCTTTAGAAGACAATCATCAATTTTATTCACTTGATTTAATGTAACTGATTTGAATTGTTCTTCACGCATATATTCGAAAGACGATTATAGATGCATCTTTATCAAACTTCTTCATCTAGGTTTATGAAGGAAAGCGAAGTGCATGCTTATCTCTGTGCCAGATAATCAAGCACATAAAATTCTGTAGCTTATTTCAAAGTATTGATGCTTGAATAAAAAAATTTTCTCATGTTTTGTTCATCTTTATTCTGGTCGCCTCGTTTTCTTTTTTTTTCTCTTATTTAAGTTAGCCTATAGCAACACTCTGTCCTTCGTGTTGATATAGTCTTCAAAAAAAAATAATTGCATCTGCGAATATAATTCGATGCATGTTTCCAGTCATCCTCTTATGCACAAGATAATAGATTTTCCTGTTATATCTTGATGATTGTCGGATCTAGACGAATGGAAAGAGCTCGTAGATATAAAGTAATCAAATCTCTTGATTGTGCTATTTGTTTGTTAAAGAAAAGGATTCTGACAATCATAGACACACTTACATCGATGGGCGCAAGAGATTTATAGCCACTAATCATTATTAAACATCTCAAATTATCAACAGTCGAAAACGAATGGAGCAAGCTGAAGTGGGAAATTAGCAGATGAGAGTAAATCTATGGACTTTCTACCGTTTTTCTGAAAGAAAGATAGAATTTTTGTTTTGGTCTACTCGTTCGTTCGTTCGAACGAAGCATGAAAAATATCTAGGACACAAAAAGAATTAGATCGTCCCTTATAGACTTTGAAAACTTATCGAAATGTGAGATATATAACGCTTTGTTTCTACTTCAATATAGGTTGATATTTGCGGAACTATTTCACAAAATTCGATTTTGATTGCAACGAACTAAAACTGTGATGGTTGATTTTTTTTCTCTTTTTGACACATTTCGCACCGAGTAGATGCATGAACAGATGGCTGCAGTAATCAGTTCTAGAACGCCTCTGTTATTTCAAAAATAATCTTCGAATGCATGCTTTACTAAAGAAAACACGTTGGTGAAGTTAGTGGCATATTCGACTTTTTTCAGCGAACACTCTCACATTAATCTGTGTCTAAGTAGCTCATCAGTGTGTCTTAAATAACTAAAATCAGATTTTCCATAACCCAGAAAATCTCAAAATGCTGTATTTTCTTAATGAAATTCTGGCATCATGTTCAAGTAAAAGCTATCCATACTCACTTCTTTCAATGTGTCAATTCTGAAAATACTTGTGTTCAGTGCAGCTCGATGGTCCTACCCAACGATATACTCAAATCTTCGATAGCTCAAAGTATGATTTTTTGGGCTGATAAGATGACACTGGAGAAAATCTGAAAATCATGCTTTGAGCTATCGAAGATCTGAGTGTACCGGATGTGGGTGTTCTCTCTACTGATACCCATATACCCACACCCTGTCCTAGGATACAACAAAAATTAATGATATAAATGAAGCTATCAAAAACAGACGATCATTGAATCTTTTATATTTGGATTTGATTGCACAAAGGCATAAATATAAATCATTATGTGACGAAATGAACCAGGAAAAATGTAAGCAAGATAAATAAACATTGATCATATTATTTCTAGTAATTTATTTCAGTGAATCTTCTTCAACACATGATGAACGTGAAAGACAATTAGGTATTATGAGAACCAAATGGCACTGATGCAATATCAATTCAATTAAATACAATTTTTTGTAAACAATCAACTAATCGAGATTTACCAAAATAAAAGTAATCTTAATTTAATCTTGAGAAAATTTGATTGATGGTGATAGTTTTTGATCTTAGACAAGGTTCAATATGAATTCGATGTTGTTGTTCATCATTTCAAAATTTTCTTGCTATAGAAACGTCCAATTATAATGCTATAACAGTATATGAGAGGTCGCTATTAGATCAACTACAGCACATCACTATTTGCTCATAATAACTTCTTAACAAAACATTATAAACGCGAAAAGTTTGTTTCAGAACTTTTTTTTCAGCACTATGCAATGATGGTTCCTTTCGTTTTTATTGATCCTGAAATAATCGATAACATAAAACTAGTTAAATATTAAATGTAGATATCACTAAAATATGATGGACGATGTTTTCATCATTCATCTTATTATTGAAAAAAAAATATATTCAATTGAAAATTTCCAGGAACTATATAGTAAGTGATTTTGTACCATTGTTTTAGGTTTTACATTGATTTATTTGAAGTTCAGTTTAGTTTTTACCTCAATTATGTACACACGATTGAAAATAATCTGTTTTCAGGGAGTAAGACTTTGGTTTCAAATAGCATCCACATCAAATTTTATACTAAATTAAAGCACCGCGAAAATGGGATTTTTCAGTATGGAATTAGGAAAATTTCTAGAATTTTATGTCATGTCGGTATGGAAAATTTTTTCTTATGATGCAGTTCACACTAGATCTCATTTAAAATGATGAATGGAATCAGTAAGTCGTATGGCGACTATTAATATTGTTTTCAGCCCTAAGAGAAGATGGACACAAACATAAAAGAGTTTCACATAACTCAATGTTTGTTGTCATATTTGTTAAAACCTTTGAAATATCTATTTTCAGAGGTTTTTTTTGTCATAATGTTTATATTTCGTCTATGAAAGCAATTTTTTAATTTCATTTTTTATTATTTTTCTCATATTCCTAATCCAGGTATCGATTACTTTTGATTATCATCATTTGAAATGAGATTTAGTATGAAATGCCGCATGAGAAATATTTTTCTATATCGACATGGCGTCAAACTCAGGAATTTCCGAAATCCGACACTGAAAAGTTGTCACAACCCTTATACTATTTGGTACCGGTAAATCTTATTTTTCTGAACTTTAATTTCGTATAAAATTTTGTTGTTGATACTATTTGAAACTACAGCGTTATCCATGGAAAAATATTATTTCCCAATTAGCACAATGATCACATGAATCCGAAAATAAATTGTTTAACCTTGATCCTTGTTATGTATTTTTGAAATTCGCCAAATCCTAAAAATGATTAATGATTAGTGATGTTAAAGAGGGTGTGAGTGTGGGTGTCTTCTCTCCATTCACACTCACATCCACCCATCCACCCTTTCGTATTGCTGCTCGTGAGCAATGATTGAGTGCTATTGGATGTTTGTTGTATTTTCGGACTATAACTATCAGTCAGATAACCGTCTCTTCAGCATCACAAAGTTCATAAAATAAAGACTTGCGTTTACCGCTTCACAAACCTTCCTGAGTTTAGTTATTGCGTTGAAAGCTTATTTTATACTGTGTCAAAAAGTCTTAAACGGATTAGACATCCTCATAAAGCCTTTCAAAATACTCTTCATAAACTTTTAGTACGGTTGATTATCCTGATGAATTCTTCCATATATCCTTGTAGAAACTCTTGGTACAGTTAAAATCCACGTAAATCATTCTATATACTCTATTGATAATCGTTTTAAAGGTTATTTCAAAGCGCTTATGAATATTATAAGTCCTTTCATGAACTTCTCAAGACTGATATTTGAATATCATAAACTTGTTGATATATCTTTGCTACAGAGTTTATGAAAGGGTTGATGAAGATTTTGTAAACAGTAAAAAAAAGGTTTTTTTTATAGGTTGCACTTTCATAAACCCTTTAAAAGATTTTTTATTCAACGGTATTTTTTTTTTAGTGTCGAATCATGCGAAATGAAACTATTCCTGAAAAACACTGCCGCATCACAGGCTATCAATCGAATTAAATGAAAATAATGATTCATCGTCAACAAAATAAATTCAACGTACGATTTTTGATGGCATTTTTAGTAGAGAAAAAAAATTTCAAACATTGAAAAATCATGAGGAAATATTTGTCAACTGCTCAGATATTGAAAATTTTTAATGATTCAGTCAAAAAAAATCAGATGTAAGATCTTGTGGACCAGACAAAATCGCATGAAAAACCGCGGTGTCGGCAAAACATACATGAAGTTTTAACGTACGATTCTTGGAAGATCGTATTATTTGTATGATCTCTTCGAAAGATTGTATTAAGATTCCCGTCTGATCTTACAGGATAAGAGATACGATCTTGTAAGTTCTTGCCGTATGATTGCTTGACCTGGGAATTTGTCTTCAATAAAATCTTTATAGTTTTCGAATATGAACAGCTATCAATCTCGACATTCCTTGATCGATAGACAAGAAATTAGATTATCTCTTCATTAGATTACAGGTGAGAAAGCATATTGTTTCTAAAGCGGATCCATAACGTATCGGAGAAGAAAAGACACTGGATTTCTTTTGTTTTTAAAAAGATGCAGCAATCTCGACTCTAGGTTGAGCTTAAAGCCTGAACTATTTCTCTCGTATTGTATTAAAACTATTTAAAAAATGCTCACGTCCATTTAACTCTGAAATAGATAATAGTAATCCTTTATAAATCTTATTAAGGTCTAGTAATTTTGATAAACTCCTATAGATTCTGTTATAGGTTAATAGGATCTGAGATGCTTAGTGAATTCAAATGTGTCTTGTTAATTCCATAAAGAAATCTTCTTAATAAAATATAGAAATTTTGAATTATTCTATAATTCATTTGTATCATACACTCCAAACCATCGTGATTATATATCATGCAATTACTCTACTGGATTTTCTATTCATTTATTTTCTCTTTAATACTGCTAATATACTCTCTAGCTATGACAGAACTATTCTGACATACTCACCTATTGCATACTGGCCTCTCGATCCTTGTATTCCAGACGACTATTCAAATCACAATTGAAACAGAGTGTTTACTAAAACCCTTCTGCCACAACAAAGCCAAACGGTGATACTGTGAGTGTGTAATCAATACTTCACTATAGACGATAATGATTATTTGAAAATTGTCCGAATTGATATTCTCACTATAGAAACATGGTTTAGACCTGATACACTACAGTTCGACCATGAGGAAGAAAATGGGTATGTCTGATAGATGGGAAAAGGAGGCACAGACGTGCAAAGTTGAGCTGCGAGGATGTACAGTTATAATAACATAGAAGGACATTCTAATCGTATTAGTAATTATGCATTTAACGTATCCGGTGGTTTAGATGCTGGAAATTATTTTCAAGATAACGTTACCGTCGAGCAATGGATTTTCTATACTCTCACTATTAACACAGTTAATGTTAGTAGCATTTATCCAATCGGTTATATGAAAATTTTCAAGAACGGAATCCAGCGTGATCAAGACTCGTTATTAGGATACGATGTTATACCACAGAATGGTAGAGCAGCAATGTGCATTGGAACTCAATAACTACAATCGTTTTTCAAAGAAGCGATTGGAAAGATCGCAGTCTTTGATTATGAATTGAATTCTAGTCAGCAACAAATTCATTTTAATTGTATGATTACGAGCATCAACTGCATCGATGTAGAACTCTTGCTCAATACAATGGATATTACAAGTGGATTTGAAAAACAAAGATTTGAGATGTCTGCAATCTGGCTTTGAATAATCTGCTAGAATTTTAAGTTGACAATCATTAACGGTCTGATTTATGTCGCTATTAACACTAATTGAAATGCGTGTTTATTTATGTATATGTCTATTGATACATAAAATAACCTTTTTTCTTTTTCTCGAGTTTAAAAAAAAAACTAAGTTTATTAAATTTCATATTTGCTGATTGAGAATACAGAGAAGTAAGAGAGATTCTAATATTCTTGAAATCTGTTGGCAGAATATTCTTTCGCAGAAGAAATCCAATTTCTTCGTCTTCATCAAGCTTATTTTGATATATGCGGCTACAACAATAAATCGTGATGATGATTATTTCTAACAGAAAGCTCAAGTTTTCACGTATGAATGATGTTCAATTTATGCCTAGCAAAAAAAACTTTCATTTAGTTGTTTCAAGGACATTTCTTTCTTTTGCGCAAAGAGATCACGCATAACTAATTTTTGATCACTTGAACAATATTTCTTTGCTTTGTACGAACATTGAACACATCTGAAAACTCGTTTAAGCCACGTTTAGATGCATCAAGATGTTTCATCATATGTTTAGACACGTTTACATGTGGCCGAAAACTAAACGCGTTTGGATTTCATTTTTAGGAAAAAACTCTTTTGTTCGCACAGATACGAGCTGCATCACCATCAAGTTCACATGATGCCCATCTATTCCACGAAGCATAGGAACAGGACAAGTTTTATATTTTTATACGAACTTTTAAATTGCGTGATGAACGAAACTAGAGCAGAAGACGTTTGATTAGAAGTCTACGTACCATAGATATAGATAAAATCTCAATTCTTATAAAATTAAAATAAACGTGTATTTTTTTTTGTGAAATAAAAAGTTAAATATATGAATGAGAACAATCTCTTGACAAAAAAATATAAAATAAAAATAATCATAATTCAATGTCACTCTTTTGTTATATCTCATTAGACAAATTAATAAACTTTTATTATTTGTTTTTTTATCAAAAAACATTTTCTTTTTGCTTTATTTAACGTTAATTTGTTTTGTCGTATTCTCAAATAATTTAACCATTTAGCACTTATCAGATCATCTGGAAGAGTTATCATTTAATTATACAAAAAGCCTCTTTTTTGTATAAATAATTACAGTGTCGAAGAAGTAAGAACTTGTCTAACATGGATAATGAAAACTGATATACGGAAAACAATTCTTTTTTTTTTACGAAGAAAATATTATCGAGATCATTATTATATAGATATTTTTTTACACTGTTATATTGCATGAAAACACGATTTACAATCTTACGAAAAACACATGTAAAAAGGTGATGTAATATTTAACTAACATTGTTCATTAAGTTATCATACAGATCAGATCAATTCACAGATAAATATTCAACATTTCATAAAAACCATCGAAAATATTAAAACTCCAAATAGGTTTGTTAATTATTCGCCTGAGAAAAGCGGTTCTTTTATATTTTGAAATGTGTGCAAACGCATTTGAGGTATTTGAAGTCGGTTGAATGTGTTTAGGCGCGTTTAATTAATTATAGCCGCAAAACGCGTTCTCGAATCTTTGATATTGAAACGCATTTATTTCTAAAAGGCGACTAAACGCGTTTAGACAGACGATGAATTCTCTAAAAAAAAATTTTCTTAATATAAATATATTTGAACCGTCTGCTGATGATGCTGCTACAATTAATCCTTTTTTTCCCAAGGGAAAAATGCAAGCAATACACAGAAAGACTTGTTAGCTAACTGATAAGTGCTTGAATACTGTGAAGTTAGCAACTATGTGCATATTACTCGACGTTTAGTGTGGTTATTCATGGTTACAAGAGAAATTTTTCATTAATTAAATTATGAAAAATGAAATCAGTTAGAAAAAAAAATTTTATAAAATAAGTCTTGGATCGCCACACACTTTACTCATTGTTGGATGATTGAGATAAGCTAAAGTCATCATATCTTGAGCATCAAGCTCAAAATCGAATATTGATAGATTTTCCATCATGTGTGTGGTGTTTCGAGTACGAGGATTGATAACAATGTCTTGTTGCCAATCCCATCGATATATAACTTGTGCAGGTGTTTTATCATGCTTCTGTGCGATTTGAGTAACATTAGGATGTTTACGCAGATCTGGAATAGGATTCCATGAGGGATCAAACCATACTGCATGATCAGGTGCACCACCTGGAGAATAACTGTTAAAAGTAATATTATGTTTCTTGCAAAAATCAAGAAGTTCGTCTTCATGCCAATAAGGATGAAATTCAACCTATATTCAGAGAAAATTTCAATTCAGAAAACATTTTATAAAGTGAACATACTTGATTAACAGCAGGAATAGAAGAATTTAAATTAAAAATGTCTAATAAATGATTGACTTGAAAATTACTCACACCAATCGCACGTACCTAAATGAGAGACATTGATCAGAATTAATAACAAATGAAAAGAATGATAGTCTCAACATTTTGGATGAAAGATTAATCGAATTCTTTATCTCCAGATATCGACTTATGGATAAATAGTTTTTCATTTATATACTCCAAAAATTACATAAGCAATGTTTAGAATTGTAATATGTTTCTCTTTCAATTGGATTAGTTTTAGACTTTATTATTGATAAAATGTCTCTTGAATTATGATGTCGATGTTTTCTTTAAATATACAATTAAGAAAACAAATAAAAAAGTACAAAATCGTCCTGTTCTGATAATTTTCACTGTCGAACTTAATCTAACTATTATTTTCTGATATCGTTGAAAATAAAATTCGACTTTTACTACTAAGCTGAAGTTTAAATGACGAAAAGTCATAGAACTATTAAAGAAATATACTGAGACTGACTTTTTTCCGATACACTCATTGTTTTCATGGAAATTTCGTATAATTCTTACACGTTCCTGATCAAATAATTTTTGTAAAGCTTGCCATGTTTCGATACGACAATCAGTCCAAGTTGATTTGCTTTGCTTGCAAGGAGGATATGGTCCAGGTACATTTGGTTGACCACCTGGCCAATGAATAAGAAGTAAATCGATATAATCAGTTTGTAAAGATTTGAGGATATCAGCAAAATTTTCCATGGTTTTAGCATAACTAGTTGTAATCAATTTCGACGTGATAAATATTTCGGAACGAGGTATGCCGCTAGCCACCCATCCCGTACCGACTCCATTCAGTGAACCGTAACTATAGGCAGTGTCAATACGTCGGCCTCCTAATTTCAACCATGCAACTGTAGCATTATGACCTTGTTCAGGTCCCCAAAATTCGCCTCCCGTACCATTGGGTAATCCGTATCCTCCTGTGCCAAGTCCTACGACAGGCATAAGAACTTCCCCATGAACGGCATTCATCAGTCGAACAGAGGGTTGATCATTGATAGGCCCACCCTCCAATACAGAGTAGAAAATTAAGATTAAAAACACAAGTAACAAGATGCTTTGAGAGAACATGCAGAAGTATTGTCGTCGTTCGATTTTCAAAACTTGTCCAGTGAATAACGTATATGCGACTGAAGGGAAGGCAACAAATGAGGAGAATGAAATGATAATAATAATAAAAAATAACGTATATCAAATAGAAAATATCAGCGACGAGAAAGATAGTCCATGCACACAAACTGATATCGTTATCTTTTTTTTTTAAATATAATTCCTTTTGCATTGTTTTATTATGATCAAAGCAACCATATTAGAGAGTAGCCTGTGATGGATATATTATAGATATCATTTACTTGTCGATATTTATAAGCAAGAAGAAAATTTAAAATATTACTTGAAGTTAAATAGCATTCCATATTCTGGAAATGAAAAATCTTGTCAATGCTACCCTAAACAGTGAAAATTCCAAAACATTGACACTCTAGCTATATAACTATCTCGCTTTGCATATTCCAGAAGGTTACATGTATTTTAGCATAAGGAATTGTCGGTCTGGGCCGAAATTCTGGTCTTTTGTACAATAGCCATCGAAGCAGTTTTTAAATTATCTTTGTGAGAGTGACCATTGCTTGTTCTGTTGTAGTTAACATTGCGTTCTCGTAATCGAATTGAAGTCCATGTAGTTGATATTTAAGTTTAAAATACAAGAAGAAGCCATCAGGACTTAGATTTGAAGAATCTAATTAAATATAGATACATAGTGTCACATGCAATTTGGCCAAAAATTCCTGTGATCCAGATTCGGTTTGATGTGATCACGTATTGCCGTCATGAAGAATGACACGTCGAAGATGGATGTGAGTGTGGGGTGTGGGCGCAGGTGGTCATATGAAAAGACAAAAAAAACCACGCCCACGCCCACATCACACCTACACCCTGACTTTGTTGTCCCTCATAAAGAACAGTTTCTTAAGGGACATACAGGTCAGTACATGACATTTATCACTGATATTATCACTGAACGACATGCCAACCTACCGATCTATCTGTATTATAACATACTTGTCTTTTGAGGGCTAAAACTCAGTGATAATATCGCTGAGATTTGTCATGAACTCGAAATCAAGGAAAAATACTCCTTGAGAAGTTCCTAGAAAGTGACTTCCCAGGGAGTACGCTTTTTTCTTTCCCCTCCGTAAAATGTGGAGATTCTCTGAAATATCCTCGGTGAATTCCCCAAAAATCCACGGGAAGTCCCTGATGACTTCTCGAGGATTTTGTTAAGAAATTGTCAATTAGGGTTTCGTGCAATTAGTAACAGATGAACTTGTCATCAGTGACATCTATTTTTGTTTTTTGCCTCTGAAGACTTCCATATGTTATAATCGAGTATGGCAAAAAGTAATTTAATTACAATAAGCTGATGTCTAGCTACTTTTCCTTAATCAATAATGCACCCAAAAAAAGGACTGTTCCTAGAACTACCAGTATTATGATGTATCAATGTACACCGATTGCTCATAAAATGAGATATTTTCAATCTACAAGTCAAGTTTATAGCTATCTCCGAGCAAAAAGAACTGTTTCATTCAATTGAAAAACAAATTTAAAATTTTTCGATACCTGAATGAGGTAATAAAAGTTGTAGGTAGAAAATTATATTTGAAGTGCATAAATGACGTGAGTATCTGATCATAAAAATGTTAGTCATATGGCCCTGACAACACATCAAAATGATTTTTGATCCTTTCGAGGTGAAATTAGTTAGTTTAAAAGTGATTTTTTTTCTTTTATTTTAAACTTAAAATCAAATCAATAGGGGTAGTGGTTTCCTATTAATTTACTTTAAATTTATTTAACTCTAGTTTAAATCAAAACAAATTCAATTTAAATTCATTTGATTTGATTTCAAGTCCATATGAATTAATTTACATGGATTTAAATCTAATTAGATGAATTTAAATCAAATTTATATTGATTCAAACTACATTGAAATAGTTTAAAATTAACATAAATTTAAATTTCTAAAAATTTATTTTTGGATTTATTAAATTTTCGTAAATGTAAATTGATCACCCCTTATAAATCACTCCTTTGATCCATACTCAGCTTATTGTAACATCTCTTGTTTCAATTTTTAAAGAAATATAAATACACATTGGATTTTTATATTAGATCGTTCTTAACTGGATCGAAAGTTTTTTTGTTTTCATTGCCTGGCATACTCTTATTTCTCTTCTCACTCTCTCGAACATGTAATTGATATTAATGTTTGATTCTGAAATCTTTCACGAAATTATGCTTTTCTTCAGATCTCGAATGTTTGTATTGTTTCTTTTTTTCCACGACTTTGTGTGATTTTCTATTTGTTTTTTTTTCTCATTTGTACATATCAGGGACAGATCCAGAATATTTTCTTTGCTAAATCTCAGCTTCACAGCATGGAATCTAGATGAAACTTATGGAGGATGATATTGAACTCAAATGATGAATTTTCATAAAAAAAAATTTCGCGATCGAAGTTTGCGAAAAAAGTTTTTTTCAACCGCTACCCCAGAATTTTTTTTTGTTGTTAGTAATGTTCCATTTTTTAGTATTTAATCGTAATCTACGCCGAACTTTATCGATAGATTTCTAATTTCATCTAAAAATATGTATTCGTTCATGAAATATAGCGCTTTGATTTTTTGGAAAATATCGCAAAAATTGTTGTAAAAATTCACAATGCTATATTTTATGAACGGATGCATATTTTCAGATGAAATTGTAAATCTGTTGATGAAATTCGGCATAGATTAGGATTAAATTCTAAAAAATGGAACATTACTAAAAACAAAAAAATAGTTCGCAAGTGATGGTTGAAAAAAAACTTTTTTTCCGCAAACTTCGATCACAAAATTTTTTTAAAAACTCGCCATTTAGGTCCAATATCATCCACCATAAGTTTCATCTAAATTTCATGCTTTGAAGATGCAATCTAGCATTAAAAAAATCCAGGATGAAATGTGTTGTAGGTGTCATCGTAAACGTACTTATGCACCAAGAACGTGTGAAGAACGAGTAAGAAATGCGTTCAAAACGCAACGCACACGTGGAGAGCTACTTAATCGGCACTCGTTCGCGTAGCACGTGGCGAACGTGTTTTAGCTACATTCATCTCGATTTGGATGTTTATATGCAGAATTTCTTACTCAATTATATACCATAGTTTTGTAGACTAAAGACAGCTCTACCATTGGAGACGTTGCTCAGATCAACGGATGCAAGTGTTGTAGAGATAATGCCACAACACTGAATAAAACGCTGGTTTTTCGCCGTTTCTCCAGCCTACAGTGCGCTCAAAAATCAATGTTACAAGACGCATTTTGAAGTGAGTAAACCAAACGACCTGATATTTTGAACTTGAGTTTGGCTCGGCTAGACCTTGCGTTTGAGGTACACAAATCGAGAAATTGAAAGGTCTGCCTGAGAAGTATAGATGATTCTGTACTCGACTTCTAAAGAAGACAAGAGAAAACGGCTTCTTTCTTTCCAAGGAAGTAAGATCAATAAACATAATCCAGACGAAAGTCGTAATGCTTGGAATTTTCTATCACACCACATATGAAAGAGGCATTTTGCCTCAAATGCTATGATGAATTCCTGGTTTCAGCTTGAATCTATCAGGAGCAGATAGAGAATTTTTTTTTGCTATCTTTTCATCATATAGAAATAGTTATATTTGTCTTTTAACTTGTACTCGAAATTTCCAAAATACAAGACATATCAGAGACTAAATTTTGACTCAAAGATAGACCTTATGGCGACCATAAGTCGGGTTCGCTAAATTCGATTAACTCCAGAATTTTCAGATATATGTAAGAACATGTTGTCTCGACTGAGTATGTTGAATCGAAAACCTGAGGATTGCGACCTCCATTAACTTGAGAAAATAGTAATATTATCAAGGATGGCAGAAGAAAAAGAAACATATTGTGAAGAAAAGTACTTTTCCATTAAACGAAGAACCAGACAAGCAACATCTTTGCTAGAAGATTCTACTAGAAAACTGAAAAAATGAATTGCACGCTTAAAGAATCAACCTAAACACTATATCACAAAGATTTGAAGAAAAGAAATAAGCAAGTCTAGAGTCATTTTACATTGCCAAAAATTTAGAGAGTAAAAGTTATATGGTTAGAATCGCCATCGAACTCTTCACATCTCTAGCATTCGGATATTTGGCAAGAAAAATTATTGTAGGATAGTTTAACGGACTTGCAACAAGAAGTTGTAGTCACCTGATTTTTTTAAACTTTACAAAATTTATTTACATACGAAATTCTTTCATTACGAAACATACACACACACTTCGTCATTGACTCAAACTTCCTCTCGTACTCAATTTTTTTCTGAAAAGTGAAAAACGACGAATGCTTACTGTAAAAAGGAAGTGGTGCAATGTATTGTAAAAAAATTCTTTTGAAAAAAGAAAAGAACAACTGAGTTTTTTAAGTTTTTCTTTCTTCTTCTAGTTGCAGCATATTATATAAACAACTTCATTTCTCTGTTACACTCACTTACATTTTGATTCAAAGAACTTCAAATCAAACTAGACGAGCAGAGTAACAAAAGGATCTAAGAAAATCCATAGTTTGTTTTATCATCTTCTCGTAACCGAAATATGGCTCCTCCGTTGGCAAGTCAAATTGAATTCACTCTTTTTGCACCAAATATCAACTCAGTTTCACTTATCGGCTCCTTCTCCGCTTGGCAAGGAATTCCAATGAGGAAGTTCAACGACGGACAATGGCGTCTCAATGTCAGTCTTGAAGACGGTGAATATGAATACGCCTTTCGATTACAACCAATTGTAATTGAGAAGCGAAAAAATGGCAAGAAAGAACCAGTGCAATTAAATAAATTTCAAGATGTGATTGATCCATATGCAATGAAAGTCAATCTATCGAAAAACGTTGGTGTTGTAACAATTAAGAATGGAATGAAGATTATCGATGAGTATGAATGGAAGTATGATAATGAAGCAGTGAATTTTCCACAAAACAAAGATCTGGTGATCTATGAACTGTACATTGGTGATTTCACCGAAAAAGGTTAGTAATTAATGACATTGGATGAACGTCAAATACGAGAAATATTTAATGTTTCACTCGAACTTCAATTGAGTTCAGGTTAGCAAATGTTGAGGGTTTGGTAGGTAAGGAGAGAGATGGAGGAACGAAAGGGATGAAGTACTAACTCAGGAAGGTGTTATACACAACGGAACGAAAAAAAAAGGCTGTCTCATCTTAGACAGAAGAATCTCAATCTGAGTCTTTCCCTTCCCTGGCGGTTGTTTTACCACTGCATCATTAAGAAGACGCCACTTCTTCTTCTCGTCTAGCATCTCATTTGTTCTGTGAGATACTAATACAAAAAGCATGCTAATCTTTCTCCCGCTTAACAGGAACATTTCAAGCAGCCATTGACAAATTGGACTACCTTGTTATTTTGGGCATCAATTGTATATCATTATTGCCAATTGCAGAAGATGGCGAAGGTAAGCACGTACACATCGACATTCTTGATCACATAACAAATTATTGTATTTTTTATTTGCAATAGAGCACAGTTGGGGCTATGCTATTCGTCATTTCTTCTGTATTCGATCAGCATACGGTACATCAGAAGATTTGAAACACTTTGTTGACGAATGTCACCATCGCAGAATACGTGTGATCTTCGATGCAATTTGTAATCATGCTCAAGGTGAATGTCCTCTCTATCAAATAGATCCAACACCTTACTTCTATTGGAATCAAATACATCATCCAGAACATCCAGAAGAACATTGGGGACCAGAATTCAATTATGAGAAAATTGAAGCAGAAGAAGATAAATGGACTAGAGACGTTAAACCAGCAGTACAGTTCATGAGCGATTTATTGAGATATTACATTGAAGAGTTTCATATCGATGGTCTTCGGTGAGTATGTGAGTTTGGTAGATTTCATTTTTCATAAGTGCAAACTTTTTGCTAGATTTGACGCTGCAAAACAAATAGACAATTATGATGTTCTTCGTTATTTCGATCGATTTGCAAAAGAAATAATCAAAACAAAGTTCAATTCAAAACCATTCTATACTATAGCTGAATTAATACCAGCAACAGATTCGGTTACAAAGCCACATGGTCCTCTCGACAGTGTATGGCGAAATATATCTCACCAATTGGTTAAACAGCTTAAAAATAAAGACGATTTCAATCTGAAGTCACTTGAAACTCTGCTCAGACCAATAGGAGTTGGCAGAGACGAACAGTATGAGACAGGTGAACGATTCATCATATATTTGTCATCACACGATAATGATCGAATGCTGAGAGTGGTTCGAGGTGAAGAGAGCAATGATAATTTATTAGATGAAACATTGTGGCGACAAGTGAAATTGGCGATAACTCTTCTATTTACGGCAACAGGTGTGCCAATGGTATATATGGGCGATGAAATTGGAATGGCAAATGAGATAGGTATGGTTTAGAAGAATTTTTCTAAGAGCATCGAAAAAGTCAATTAGCTGACCAAAATTGACTACACTCCTTGTTACATATTTAAAATCTATGAAAGAAAAGCAGCGTAGAAAAACCTTCTTTCTAATGGCACGTTCTGAAAATCATAATGCTGCATTTGTATCATCATTAATGTTTTTTCAAACTGAATTTTCGGAAAAAATTTGCTTAGCAGGTTGAAACTGCTTTGAAAATCGGGTAGTTGACAGAAGTATAGCTGAAAACCTATGAGCCATGTGTTTTTCATTCGCTAACTACAGTTCTTACCGGTCAAAAACGATGAAAACTGCAGGTAGGTTTTTCACCTTTCCAAAAAGTTGTCAAAATTTAACTGCAACCCAGCAAATTAGAAATTACATTTTCTAGATCAGTTTTTGACGTTGACTTCGAATATGTAATAAAAAGTATAGCTTACTTTTGCCCATTCACTTCACTTCTCGATGTCTTCAGAAAACTCTCTGAACTAAACGCTTTGTCATTTTAGCTATTTTCCTAATTATGTCCATTCCGCTTTTTTGCTAGGTAAAGAAGATAAGACAACGAGAGTGAACAAACTTGATTGGTCTCTAATCACACGCCAACCAAATTGTTCACTATTAGAATTAATTCAATCTCTAATCAGACTTCGTCATCATTCAGCTGCAATACGTAGTGACAATCTTAACGTGTTTCATGCGGATGTGGAAAGACAAGTATTAGCTTATGAACGTTGGTCATCTGAAAATGAAGATGATCGTGTGGTGGTTATAGCAAATTTTTCGAAAAATGAATATAAAGGTTACAAAGTGATAAACTGGCATATGGTTGGCCGATGGGAACAAGTTCTTGGTACATCTTATATTCAAGTTGCAACAACACATTTGATATTAAATTTGAGTGCACATGAGGGAATAGTGTTTATGTATAAAAGCAAATGAGCGTTTATGGCTTCGATGTAATTTTGTTAGGATGTTTAATTTCAATAAGTGTTGTAAATCTCTGATAAAAATAAATAATATTATATTTCTTTGAGTTAAGTTGCATATAAACGAAGAAGTGCTACGCAACAAGTTAACACATTCGATCCGATTCGATTTTATTAGAGAGTAGCTCTAACAGATTCATATTGGTATGCATTCGTCTTTTGACAAATGTACTTGTTGGCCTTTTCATTCTGTCCTAGCTCCTTCTTTTCTCTTTTCTATTTGTTACATTACATCGATAGAATGAACAAAAAATTAAGAGAAAATTAAAATTCACGAATAGAAAAGATTTCGAATGCGCATTATTTTTTGTCTTCATTATTAGTACGGATTTTTTTTCTGTTGATTTCAGTCACGAACTTAAGGTCGTAGAGGATAGGACGAACAGAAGTAAGGAATATAACTGTATGCACCTACAAAGTGATGGAACAAGTCTCATACCCATACACACAGAGTCCAAGTCTGAAGTAGATGTAGATGATGGTGTGTGTTGATTTTCTTCTCATTCAATACTTACACTTCAAGGTGAAGCTATCATTGAACTTTCAAACAGAAGGATACGAATTGCATTACATGTAGAAACTCAGGTAAAAAGTAGAAAAGATAGAAAAAGACAAATAGATATATTAGAGTTAATAAAATGGCGTTCGAGTCAATCGCGAAGTAATATCAATTACATTTAGATGAAAAATACCGAAAGAAAACCTTATTTTTTCCATCCACCTTATCTAAACAATTTAGAAAAAAGTTACGATTTTATCAGTGATTTTTATCAAGCAATGGTTATAGAATCAATATCGCGTACAGTGTAATATTATAGGTTTATTAGTGCTCTACGTCAATAATATCTTCTAATTCTTGTTAAATATTCTGTAGAATTCGTTTTATAAAATTTCACTTTTAAGATTCTGACATTATATCTGAATAACTTTGATCTATATTCATTTGTTACATAGAGCAGCTAAGTAGGTCACTGAGAATATCAAAACAAACAAAAAAAGGGTCATATTGTATGTTGTCATTATTGTCAATATTATAAATCGAAATACATATTAAAACAACGTGTCTCTATACAAAAATAAAAAGTAACACAGTAAAATAAATACAAAACAATGATTATTTCTAATTATTCTTTCAGATTGTAACAATTTTACATCACAGAAAACAAAAAATATATACATTGGAATGTTAAGATCATCTTATTATTGAGACGTTTTCTTTTTTTCATCACAATTTAAATTAAAATATCATGCAGTAATTACTGACGATGATTCATCATCCTTCTGTAATAACTGACTTTTCGAACGATTATTTCGTATTTGCCATGCACTAATCGATAAATATTGTAAATGTACTATTGTTTGATATTTCCATAGAAGCCAAATAATACCTGCTATAGTACATATAATTATTTCAATAAAATACGGTTCTATAGATGGACGACAAACACCTCCTAATGTCTGACAATTTTTTTCTTCAATCGTTGTTTCACATTGAGTACTATCTAATGAACATTTTTTCCATGTTAAATAATCAGCTGCATATAAAACAGTTGTTGAAGTCCAATGATTACCTGAAGAAATCAAAACGACAGAGATTAAAAAGATTTACATCAATTAATTAGTTTATAAAATATTACCAAGATTTGATAATATATTAAGTAATGTTATATATGTTCCACCAATTTTAGGATCACTAACTTGAGCACAAAAAGCCATTTGAGAAACATACATAATGCATACAAATATTTGATATATACTATAAATAAATATAGCTAATGTATAATAATACCACGGAAATGTTTTATCATAATTTTGAAATTTTGATGTATAATAAACAAATATAGCCATAATTATACCTACAACTAATCTATTAAGAAAAATTATAATTATTAAAAATTCAAAAATAAGAAAAGTTTACCGATATGGATATGATTTAATATAAATATTTAATGGTTTTGTTCCAGTTGTATATTTTGATATAAGAAATGGTAAAATAATTTGTAATGGTATTAATGGTATTGCTAATAAAGCTAATGAATCTCTTGTAACACCACGTTCAATTAATTCTAATCCAGTCATTGCATCTGTTGCAGCAAAACCTATCTAGATAATAATTAATAACAAAACAAATCAACACATGAATTTTATTAATATAACCCTTGTTGTAAAAGTCTTGAGACAAAATGTTTGTTCAGTTTTGGATCACTTAGAAGTAGTTTGAGAAAATGGAAAGTACTCAGTTAGAATCAGAATTTTTCTCTAACTTGCAGTTGATTCAGGAAGGCTAAATGTTTGATGACGATCATAAATCACGTTTTGACAGAATATTTTTATGTAATGCGTTTTTGTATTTTGATTAAAACTACCTCAATTCAAATCCTAGGAAAGTGTTTTTATATGTCAGTTTATAGAACAAAGCTTCCTCTACATAATGCCCAATTTGCTTTACTTTCTGCATATTCTTGCAAACCATCAGAATCCGTTGCATTTCAAATACTAAAAATCATAAAAATATCTCGTGTAGGGGGTAGAATTTCGAAAAATGTTTCAAAGCTTTTGATTCTTTTGAGTTTTAGTTTATTGCAATCTATGATTTTCTTGTATATTAAATTCTTTACAAAAATAGAAAGTAATAAGCATGCATAGATACTCTTTAGAAAAATAACGAACAAGAGGAAAAGCCTATACAAACGACATCTTTATTGATTCAAGTTTTGCTAATTGGCCTTCAGCCAAGGGAAAATGCTAAGGATATATTTAGAAAGAGTATCCAATTCAGGTTCATAACCAACTACTTTTGACACTCTTCAGTTACATTTAAACATCTGAAAAATCAACCAATTTATTTACTAAGGCCTTCGAAACTACTCCTTTGTCTAAACGTGATTTATGATCGTCATCAAACATTTGGTCTTTCTGAATCAACTGCAAGTTAGAGAAAAATTTTGATTTTAATTGAGTACTTTCCATTTTTTCAAACTACTTCTAAGTGATCCAAAACAGAACAAACGTTTTGTCTCACGACTTTTGCAAAAGGGATTATTATTTAAATCATACTTTAGCTGTTAATAAAATCACTGCAATAGATTGAATTGATGGTAGACGAAAAATTTTTAAAAGAACTTTATATGTTTCAATAAGACCAAAATGAGGTTCATGTAAATCATAATTTTCATCAATTTCATGTTTTAATAAAGCAATTAATGTTGTTGATATTATAAAAATGATTCCCCAGAATAGAAGAAAACCTATGAAAAACAACAATTTCAATAGAAAAGATATTTTAGCATAGATCATTGATAATTCTTCAAAGAACTTTTTGTATTACTGTACCAGATAATGTGATTAATCCAATTGATTGCATTTCCATATTTAATGGTCGTCGTATATAACGATTTGTAAAATCTTTCGATTCCAATGTAAGGAAAACAGCATTACCCAAAAAATATCCAGCTACTTGACCAACAGAAGTACATGTACTTGCCCAACGAATATTTTCTCTGTAATAAAAAAAAAGACAAATTTTTTCTCATAATAATAACTAGCATAAAGAGTCTAAACAGTGATTTGAATAGAGAAACTTGTTTCCTACAAAGATTTGAGGACAAATGAAATTCACATAATATTCACCAAGTTAAAAAAAATCTTTGTTGTTCAATTTTTCTATAGGAAATGGAGCTTGAAGACATCTCATTCTCTAGAGAAATAGGTATTCTGTCACACCATAGAATCAAAAGAAACTTTTATTTTTAGGATTGGAATGCTGATTAGATTTTTTTTTCTCAAATCTTTGTTAGAAAAAAAACAATCAGAATCAAATCTTTATGATCAATATTTGAAGTCATTGTACATTATTTACCTTGAAAGCATTGAAAGTGCCCAACCATCAACGCATACATCTTGGGTAGCAACAAGAAATGATAGACAAAAAAAAATTAATGTAAGAAAATAAATATCTAAATTTTAAAAAAAAAATTGAAGTTTTAATAATAAAAATTATAATATTAAATTGAAAATATACGTGGTTGATTATTTGCTGATATTTTTGTTGCAAGTAATATATCATTAATATGATATGAAAGTACAATCATAACCAATCCAGTTACATATTGTACTGGTATAAGCCATGTTTTTCTTCGACCATATCGTTTTATATATAATGCATCAACAATTGGTGCCCAAATAAGTTTAAGACTAAATGGCCAAAAAGCAAATGAAAATACTGCTTGTTGAGACCAACTAGTACCGTATGTTTGAATAATTAAAGGTATTGATCCAGCTATACCAACTGGAACACTTTGTAATAAATAAAGAAATATTAAAAGACTTATATTATATTTATCTTTTTTCCAATCGCTTCGTCTAGGTATGGATGCCATTATTAATGATGATGAGTTATTATTTATGATTTCATTTTCAGCTTCGAACGATGATGGAAGGCTAGTAGTGTCAATTGTTGATTTCTTTTCAATAAATGGTTGTCTTTGATTAGTATCTTCTTTATTTAGTGTCAGTTTTATTAATGCGGTGCGAAGCACAGCATTTATGTAGTCCTTCGCGAGTTTTTTTCTTTTTTTCCTACTTACTTGACGTACGCATCAAAAGTAGTCATTTTGTGTCGCGATGATCTCGAGAACCAGAGTTCTGAGAAATCTCGTTCAAACGCTAGGTCCAAGTATCGAGACCGAACTGCTAAACTCTTTGGAGTTCATCGCAAGATCACCTTCGGTTTCCTCAGAAATAGCTCCAGAAAATGAAGAATTTAACATGACTTTAAGCTTTATTCATTTCGAGATAATTAAAACAAGAAGAGATAGGCGCCACTCTCTTAGCTTATTTATGAAACAGCTGTAAATGCAGCTGATAGTAGATAATGAATCACTGAGATAATTAATCAATCAATGAACAGCGATTTCTAAAAGTGTGTCGATACGCTTTGGTAGAGCTCACGTAGTAATGAATATTAGAATGGCTGCTTTTTATGTTTGAGCTAAGTTAGATCATCTGGTTGAAAAAATGTAACTTTTTTTATGCAAAAAAATCACGTAAAAATGATTTCTGAGTTCGATAGCGCTTAGTCATCGGAATCCGAGAGTGAATTACGACGGATGTTCATAGCAATTATTCATCTTCCATTCGAAATTCATTTCATCGATTCTCGAGTTTTGTGCTTCGCACCGCATTTCGTAGTCGAGTGAAGCTCGAGTACCATCTAGTTTTTTCTTCTTTACTTGACGCTTGACGTACGCATCAAAAGTGGCCATTTTGTGTCGCGATGATCTCGAGAACGGAAAATCAGAAAAAAAAAGTTTAAACGCGAGATGAAAGTATCAAGATCAAATCGTTGAAATTCGTTTTTCAGTTT